CAGAACTGCTGAAAACTTCCTTTTCAGATTTTAATTCCTAGTTGTAAAACAACCCCAGAGCAACCGGTGAGCGAAGGCATTAAACTGACTGCTTAATTGCCTTTTAGTGTCTTGTTAGTTCTATATCTACATTCTTAATGGTTCTTTAATCTGTATTTACCCGCATAAAGAAGTTACCTGCCTAGAACCCTACTGAACAGAACTTGCTCTGCCCCAGCCCTGGCCAATCTCTCGCTCTCACATCCTTTGTGTTCGATGATGTTGCGGCTTTTTATTTGCACTGGTTATTTACTTATGTACAACCTAAACATTGAACCTCACGGCTAGAAAAGTGGTTTTTTTTTTTTTTGGCCTCAGATATATGTATTCGTGGATGTTGAAACTGGGTTCGGTGGCAACGCTGCCATCCACCTGCCTGATTCCGCCACTGCTCTCTCCTGAGCCCAGGCGCACTCGCCGGTTCCGCCTCACCGCCCGGGCGGGTTTTATGGCGCGGCCCTGGGGACTCTTAAATAACCCTGCAGTGATTATTACGCACTTGAAGCCACTACGTCCCCGTTCCGGTGCTCTCAACAATCAAATCAAGCCACCAAACAAACATACGATTTCAAGCATTAATGAGAAAATCTGCATGTGTTCAATAAGGCTAGAAAGTAAACATCCAGCAGTCAACCCGACAAAACCAACAGGCGAATGGGAGAAACCGACACCCGAACTCCGCTGCTTCCTTTCCCATCGTCCCAACGGGAAAATCGCCACCGCTACGTCCTGGAAGAGAACGCAGCGTGGTGTTCTAACGCAAGGCAAGTTCTGCTATTTCCCCTGCATCTTTGATTGTATCGTTGAGGGTTGCAAGGGCTTCGGAAAATATGGAATTTACTCTAAAGACTTAGACGGCGTCGGGGTCAAATTCTGACAAAAGGACTTGGAGAGCGGGCTGTGCGCTTTTATACAGGTTCCGATGGCACAAACCGAGGGTCTTATATCCCATGATTTTAGTCTGTGGGAAAGTGCGTCTACCATCCCCGAGCCTCGCGCCCTTCCCTGCTAACTTGGGGGGCCATGGGGGGGCGGCCTTCTGTCTCCCTCGATTTTAGTGGCGCTGCCGTCATTGATCAAGTGCTCTTTTCTTAATGCCACTGGAAATGAAATACTTCAAGGACCTTTAAAACTTGTCTGCGTTTTTAATTATTTATCTTACGATCCGCTGGAAAGCTGACGTCGATGTCGTTAATTTTAGAAGAGCTCACGTGTGCAAACAGAGCGGGAGGGTACTCGAGCAAAACTTTTATCACTTTGACTTTTCTCAAATCAAAAAAAAAAACAGCAGCACTGTTTTTCATAAATGTCAAAAAACAAGGGAGAGATAGGAAAGGAGTATAAGCCCCAACCGACCTACGCTTGGGGTCTCTTAGCTCAACCTTTGAAATTGTTGCAAACCTCCCACGCTCACTGATGATTTTAAAAGGGGGAAAGTCTTGTGAAAGTGTATCTCCAGCCCCAATCAAAACATCAATTTGCCGATCTGGCCTCTCTCCCCCTGCACCCCCGGAGCGCCACTTCAAAGCCGCTGCAACAAGTCAGTAATTGTAACGTTGCATCTAAATATTTAAGAGACAGTCTTGCAGTCGCGTGTCCATTTACAGTCCTCATCTGTCCTCTAATTCCATTACGGCACAAAGCAAAAATGTTTCCCAAAATTCCCAAACAGGAAAAGCGTCACCCTGCTGGAGGAGGAGTAAGTGGAGGAGAAGGAGGTAGAGGAGAAGGAGGAGGAGGAGCAGGAGGGGGAGGAGGAGATGAAGGAGCAGTTTCTATTGATTAGTCACTGCTTTTGTGTTAAGGGCTTTCTTTAAAATAAGAAAAAAATGGGGGGAGGTTGCAGAAATTTCACTAATGTGAGCCTCAGGCAAGGGAGAGAAAAAAAAAAAAGAGGAGAAGAGGGGCGGGCTGTGTCTAGATGAAAGTGAGAAGGACATAAAGGAGGCAATTGAGTCGGCTGCAGCCCGGCGAGCTAAGCTGCGAGCCGGCGAGAGCGCAGGGGAGGGGGCGGCGCGGTGCTTTGGCGCAGGGCGCAGGAGTGGGGGCCGACCCATTGTGGCAGCGCCCGCGGGCCCGCTCGGCCGTGCCGGGGGAGGAACAGAGGCGCCCATTGAGCGGCCGCAGCGCGGGCCGTACCCACAGCCCCCGATGCTGAGACCCGGGCTTGGCTCCTAGGGCAGCTCCTGCTCGGATCTCCGTGCCAGCCAAGGGCTGGGCGGTGGGGGGTTGGGTGTTGCCTGGCCACTTTCCCTTCCATCCCCAAGAAAGTTGGATGGATGGACCCAGCAAGGGCGCAAGGTCCTGAGCGCACCCGGCGCACGCTGCACTGTTCTTGGATTGGGTGAGGAGCAAGGAAAGTTGGAGAGGTGCAAGGAGCAAAAGAAAGAGCCAGACCCTGGAAAGAAGAACGAGGGCGTTTCTGGTCTCTTTCAGGGTACCTCTCCCCTGTGTCCTAGTTTCGGACAAGCGGAAAGATGTCCCCTGGAAAGCCAGTGGCAACAGCACCCTCCTGGCCCACAAGGAAGCTGGAACCTCCAGAGAGCACGCCGCCCTGGTCAGGGCACCCAAAGGCCCCTGCTCGGCCAGCCTCTTACTCCTCCGCCAGGGCGCCCAGAGCTCTTTATCAGCACTCATTCTATTTTACAGGCGGGGCGACCTGTGACGTTTGATGCCCAACCAACAGAGGGAATTTTTTGAGGTTTCTAAACTTTCCTTCGAACTACACTTCATTCTCCTTTCTGTGGGCCCCTCTTGCCCTCCGGGGTTCATCTGGAAACGGAGCTAGAGGCGCTGGAGAGACTGACGCTGCATCATCCTTGACAACCCCAAATTAAATTAGGCTTCAGCCTCCGAGGTGTGTGCATATGTGTGTTTTCAACGGTACAGCTCCCGCTGGGGAGAATACTCTGATTTTAAAAGTGGTAGCAATTGCCCCTGAATGGCAGCCCGATCCAGCAAGCCGGACCAAAAGACTAGAAACATTTTTAGGTGAAATGGCCACTTTTTCCACGCTGGAGAGTCCATAAAACTTCCTGGAGCAGCAGCTATTGGGGCTCATTGAATAATTCATCCCTCATTGCAAGCCCATAATGTCTATTCGCAGCCCTTTGTGGGGCTGTTTTCTCTCCTTTTCTCCTTGAATTATAAAAAGGTTGCCTTCCTTTGTTCACATCAAGCTGCTGCGAGCGAGAGCTTTGTCTGGGCCAAGCTAAAGTGTGAGTTTCAATGGACTCTCCAGGCTTTGTCTCCCAAGTTCATCTCCAAGTGTAGATTGTGTAGAGAAGGCCTTCTTTGTAAAAGCTGGAAAAGTTGTACAAATGTTTGACCAGCTCATTTGGGGCGTTTTGTCTCCTGGGCCTTGCTTGCCTATGCTGCGAAGGAACCTTGGATCTGCCGCGCCGGGCGCCTCTGGCAACAAGTAGCAAAGCTGTGCCTCCCCCCTACCACCACCCTTCTCCACCCTCTGGGGTGCTCTGAGCTCCTGGCCCCATTGCCCAAAGGGGCCCGTTGGGTTTGGATTTGGCTGGTTTCTCACCTTTCTCCCTCCCCAGCACCTCCTGGCTGTGTCTAGGCCTAGAATAAAAGCCAAGGTGTATTCTGGGAAAGGAGGGCACCCCTCTAAAAGGAGATGATTAGACTGAGACCATGTGAGACCCCTGCTTTAAAGAGAAGGAAGCAACCTGCCATGGTTTTTGGTAATTTTTCTGTGTGTGCCAGAGCATCTAGGCTTCTGTTTATCCCCCAAATCAGCCATTTGGATTTTTAACATCTACATCTAAGTCTCCTTTTGAGGTTGCATTCAGATTTTGCTCTGGTTTGTAAAGACCAGTGGTCTGCCCAGGAGTTAGATGAGAAAAGTAAAAGAAAGGCCCATCCACAGTCCTATCAGGCTGAGGGCCATGGACCCTGCTGGTCAGTGTGTGATTGCTCCAAACCCACCTGAAGAGTCGCTTGAACTTCTAGGCAACTCAAAACTCAGCCCTACAAAATCCAGGCTAAAGATAACAGAGGAGAGAGGAGACACCAGGGATTCCAGATCATTTGCGAATCTGAAGAGGGGCAACCAAGGCCAAAACCGTTGGGGCACAAATCTGCTGAGACTGCTCTGTGTGGTCACCTCTTCCTGGTTCAGCTCCAAGGGGTTGACTTTTCTTTGGGAGGGAGTGGGTACCTTTAGACAGTCAGAAGATGACCCGCAGCGTGTCAAAAGGAAACAGGTTGCACTCCTGGTTCTGAGGAAAAGATTTTTCTCTCGATGCTGACAGGTCATAGCCCACAAAGAGCAGGTGGTCCCCACCCTTGGGCCGAGAGGGTGCCAGCAATGTGGGTCCAAAACCCAGATTCCCTCGGTTTCTCAGTTTTACTTCCCAGACACACACACAAATCAAATCCCATCTCATTTGAAAACCACTTTAAAACAAAGAAAATGCAGCCAACTTACACATATACATTTATAGGGTAAGTGAAGTGGAGCAGCTTTGGGGCGCATTGAAAGAATCTCTCTCTCTCTCTCTCTCTCTCTCTCTCTCTCTCTCTCTCTCTCTCTCTCTCCCCCCCCCCCCTTCCCTCCCTCCCTCCTCTGATGTGAGAAACTCTGAAGATCCCGGCCTTTCCGAGGCAAAAGTCCCTTCAACCTCGGGAGATCGCAACTCTCTCCCCCCTACTCAACCGCTCCCTCGGAAACGCCCAGTCCCGTGCGCCCCGCACCTAAAACGCAATTCAAAGTTTTAGACTCCCCGGGGCTGGAGGTGGTGCAGCAGAAAGATTTATAAAATAGAGAAAGTAAACAAAGGAGAAAATTTTTGTTTAGATTGCAAGTGCGTCTCTCCCTGGCAGGCCCCTACCCAGGTACAGTAGACAGGAGCGAGGGGACCTTGACCACCAGAGCTGGGCGGACCCCGGCCGCCAGCGCAGAGCGAGACGGTCCGCCCCAGCGAGGCCCTCGGCGCGCCGCTTACCTCGCTCGCTCAGGATGCCGTCGATGCTGTGTTTCGCCTTCTTCTCGCTCTCCTCCGCCTCCTTCCTCTCCAAATCGACATCCTCCTCTTCCCCTTTCCCGAACTTACTCCTCAAGATTCGACTGATGGAACTCACTGGGGGTGGGAGGAGGGAGGGAGCGCAGACGTCTGAGACACGCAGGGCCGGACAGGAGGGAGCCCCCATCCCCCGTCCGCACCCAGCACCGCCTGCCCCACCAGCCTGCTTCTGTCTCCTCCCGCTTCCTGGGGTCACCTCGTTCTTTTAACACCCCCTCAGCCTCCCATTCGAACACCCCCGTAATCATCACCTATGGAAAGGGAGACCGGAACCTGGGAAGCCTGCACCTCCGAGAACCACCGGTACTGTCCCTCTCTCCGAGCAGGAAACACTTCCTTTCTGAACCCTGCAGACGGGGCTCTAGGCCTCCAACCTAAGAGACTTCTCCTGCCAGCCCACCCTGCACCCCCCACACCACCTGCAGGCACTGGGCGGGCCCCGCGGTTCCTGTTCAGGGAGGAAGAACCGAAGAACCGCAGCGGACCCTTCCCCAGCAATTCAACTTTAAAAAAAAAAAATTTTAAGGCTATAAAGGGTTTCAATTTCAACTGCAGAACCGTTTCCTATTGTAAATATCAAAAGAAAATGCACTCTCCCCCCATTTATTTTTTCCAGATTCCGGTGGGGTAAACAAATCCCTGCTCTGAAATATCTCGTTCTCGGAGGGCGGGTGGGGGGCGGAGGGAGTTTCCTTTTAATTAAAAACAAACTCTGCCGCGCGCCCTCGCGCTCGGCCTGCGCTGGCCCCTCTTCTCTCTCCGCCACCCACGGCTACGGCGGTCCCTGGGACCCTCGGGGACACGGCGGGCCCGCCGCGCAGCCTCCCCTCCTCAGCGGACACAGCCAAGCCTCGGCGGGCCCAGGCCCATCTCCCTTCGATTGGGGTTACCAAAACATTTGTTTCTCTTTAAAAGGGAACATCAATATTAATAAACACTTGGCCTCCGCCTCGCGTTTCCTGCCCTGTTTCCTTGGCGGAAATCCTCTTTGGGGAGCCCTCTGCGTTGGTGTCTCAACCTCAAAACAAGCAGCTCAATGCTCCCTCCGTAAAACTCCTGGTTCGTGAATGTTTCAGGGCCCTGGACGGAGCCGTCTCCCAGCGGCCCAGATCGATCACTGGGGTGATTAGAGCTTAAATGGCTCGCCCGGGAAACAGCGACTGGCAGCCCGCCTCAGGAAGACATCAGTGGGCCAGGTACCTGAGGGCACTGTGTTTCGATCACAGACCGCGTCCTTCAGTAATTTGTCTCGAATTTCCCAGCTGAACATGCCCGGGTTTTCTCTTTTGTATTCCTCAATTTTCTTCTCCACATCAGGCGTTGTCACCTGCTTTAAGAGAACAGGCAGGTTGATACCCAGTCCTCCGGGCCAGATGTGGTGGTGGCCAAGCTGACCGCTCCCTCTTACACCCTATGGGAAGGTCCCTCTTGTTAGCAAAAGGATCCCAGCTAAGGCGTTTTACTTTTAGGTAGGGCCGGTCGGAAAGTCGTCCTACCCTGAAGCAACCCCGGGGCTGTCCTCCTCCCCAGAGAAGCTCAGACAATCAGGATAAATGAAAAAGAGGGGTGCAGTTTCTGATCCCTGGAAACACAGAATGGCAACTCCTTACACAAAATCGGCAGGAAAATAAAACTTAAAAAAGAAAGAAAGAAAGAAAGGCTTGAAAGAGAAGTAGAGAAATCAAGTTAGATCTGCAACTTTTGCCTCTCCAAAGGAGCACTGATTTTAGCTAAAGAGCAAAATTAACTACAAACAGTGGCTATCCAGGCTTTCAAAAATTAGTTGGAGTGGATAACAGGCATCATTTGAAAAACTGGCTCTCAATTTTATTTTATTTTTTTCATTTAAAAGAGTTTTCAGAGATTCTAAGAGAGGTTGCAAAGGGCGTTGAGGAGGGAGGAGGACAGGAGCGGGTTCAGACGTCTTAAGTTTACCAGAACTCTCCTTTTGATTTTGCCCTGTGGCAAGAAGAAATTATATTGCATTCTCCCCACATCCAGAAGAAAAGGCAGACCCCACTAACCCCCCTCCCACTCAGCCCTACCCAGCGGGACTCTCTCTCTTTCCTTTTTAAATAAAGGAAACCAAAATCATCTGAGGATAGCACCAAACTGCTTTTTAAAAGCCAAGTCATGGGCTTCTACAAAGAAAACAAATCGCTCAACTTTGACTCCTTTAAGATAATTTGGACTGGAATAGACTGGGGACAGGAGTTGGGAGAACAACTGTTAAAAGAGCAGAGGTAACTCTTTAGATTCGATTTTGGAAATAGCACTGCAGTGAGTGGGAGCCGGGGAAATATTTGAGGAAGAAACCAGCAACAAGTGGACACATACAGTTTGGTGTTTGCCTATCAGACTAATGTATTGAGGAATTACAGGATCCAAGGCATAAGGGAAATGCTGTATTTTCTTTAGCAAAGGGTTGGCGTTTGCACTTAAGGTTAATCAAACAATCTCAGCTTAGGCAGCAACTAAGTCCCCCCATACTCACCACACACACACACACACACACACACACACACACACACCCCTCCCCAGACTTGACAAAAAACTCCTTGGAAAGTCCCAGACTGCAGTCCTTGCCCCTAACCCGGAGCCCGCAGGCCCAAAGGAGCCTCCAGAGCCTGCTCACCTTGGGCTTGCTGCCGCCAATGGCACCGGGACGGATGGAGCCCGTCTCCTGGTACCTGCACAGGATCTTAGAGACGCAGCCGTGGGACACGCGCAACTGGCGGGAGATGACGCAGGGCCGGATGCCATGGTGGGCCATCTCCACGATCTTGTGGCGGATGTGGTTGGGCAGCGGCCTGCCGTTGATAAATACACCTCCAAGCTGGTTGACCCGGCCCTGGCCGAGGGGAGTGGACACTGGGGGGCAGAAGGTGAAACGAGAGGCAAAGGGAAAGTCACTTCAGAGGAACTGGGAGCAGCAATTGGAAAGATGAGCCCTGTAAATTCGCATTCTTGGGCCGATCTGAACGTTACAGCCTCGGCACTGAAACCGCTCACGTCCAACTCCCAGCCCCAGACCCTTTTTCAACCACATTTGTTCAAAGTATTAAACAATTCGGGGCCCCAGAAACTTGTGTGAAGGGAACAGCCAGAGCTAAATAACTTGTCGCAGGAAAAACTGTCTTCCATTTAGGCCCAGCTAAGGTAGCAACTCTGGGGAACCCAGGGGACTCTTTGACTGTTGCTCCAGCCTTGGGGAACTCTGCTCACACTGAACCCTGTTCCACTAGGGCTGCTCCCTTCCTAAGGGACTTGGAGGAGCTGACAGCCTTTGGGATATCCAGCTAGGAGTGCAAGTAGCCAAAGATCAAAGAGGGTCCCAAAAGGAGGCCGCAGGTGGCAGCGCTTGTCACCTGTTACATCTAGGGACAGGGAGACAGCCGGGTCTGTTCGCGGCCCCCCTTGCCTCCAGTCATGCTCTGGGTATTATTCTACTCTGGACCGAGAGCCCAAGGCAGGAGCCACCGGACCTGCATCCCCACTGGGGCGCCCCAACCTATCAAACTGTCAGAAAGGCTCGGGCTTGCAAAACTTCCTGCGTCCCCCGGATCACTAGAATCTTCAAGCAGACTTTAAGGCAGTTTATCAAACGGGGTATGGGAACTTCAAGATGCCGCTCAAGAAGAGTGAAACGCTGAGTAATTAACGAACACTACGAACCCCAAGCCCGGTGTCGCTCGGCCTCGCCGCCGCAACATTTCCCTGGCAAGAAAATTCTCCCGGAACTTAACGAGAGCCTAGCGGATATGGGCAAAGCTGGGACAATTTGAGACGCCTTTGGGTGGACAAAATGCGGAGAAGTTGCTTTCAGGTGCTCAGAAGCCCATTCAAGCCCATTCCCCACCATGGTTTTTCCAAAACAACAGGGCAAAGTGGCCCGGCGGGTGCAGGCCTGGCCGCCAAGCTATGCAAGGGCTTTCGGAGAGAACCGCGCTCCATTTTCGCAGAGAAAATCGGGTGCAGGTCTCGCCCCTACTGTTCCCTCCCGAAGTAGGGGTGCCCAGGGGAAAGGGTCCTTGGGCAAGCTAAAGGGCCCTGCGGAGACCCCGGGTGGGGTGGAGCGGCCCTGGCCGAGTCCCGGGCTCGAGGCCGCTGAGGCCCTCGCTTACCTTCCAGCGGGAACCCGCTGCGCGGGTAGTTCTGCCCGGGGCCCGGCCGCATCATCCTGGGCACAGCTCCGGCCAGCGTGGTCATCCTGGGGGCAGCTCCGCTTGGGAATTATATCCAGGTGAAGGCGAGATAGAAAGGCGAGCGCGGCGCTGGTGACCCTCGGGAACTCCCGGGAGCGTGGAGAGCCCCTCCCCAGAAAGGCTGGAGAGAGAGGGAGGGCCGCGGGGAGGAGGGCTGCTCGCGTCTAGTCCAGGGAGAGGTCGAGGTGGAACCAGGATGGGAAACCCCTGAGTCCAAGATCTCGAGCCCAGGGCGGAAAAGTTCGGTGGGAGTCTGGGCGAGTGGCCCCGCGGCTGGGGGCGCTGGGGCGGGGGGCTCAGAGCACCGCGACAGGGGGGTGGGGCCGGGAGCAGGGCCTGCGGAGTCTCCTCCTGTCGTGACACCGAGTGCCGGGATCCGGGCTCTCGAGCATTTATTAGTTCTTTCACCCAAAGCTTGGTCAGGAGCCCTGAGCAGCGATTGGCCGACGGGGAGACCGTCCCGGGTGGCGGAGACACGCGCTGATTGGGCGACAGTGGCCACTTTCTCTTCTCATCCCGGTCGATGCCGAGGCCGAGGCCGGCCCCAGAAGGACCCGCGCTGCACCCCTTCCCCAGGAGGCAAGGATAGACCTGTAGAAACTGGGAGAGACAGCCTGAGGGAGATGACAGCTACTGAGGGTAGGGTGGGGTCCCTGCCTCTCGTCTCTGTCACTGTTTCCCTCCTTGGCTGTCTATTTCTCGGTCTTGTTGTCTCTCTCTCTGTATCTCTGTGTCTTTCTCTGTCTCTGACTCTATTCCCCTCTGGGTGTCTATGTTTTTCTAACGATGGAACTCTCTCTCTCTCTCTCTCTCTCTCTCTCACACACACACACACACACACGCACACACACTTTTCTTGGCTTACTGCCACTGGAGGGGGCGCAATCCCATAAGAAGGCATTGGGAACCCCCAGACAAGTGTAGCCTTCCTTCCTCTGGTCAATGCCCCTTGGCCTAGGCTTGTTAAGGGGTCCTCCCAGTGGGGTTCCTCCCAGAAGGAGTCCAGGCTGTTCTGACCAGCTCTTTTGTCTTTGCAGTCTGGGGGCAGGGGTACTGTGAAGCCCAGCAGACGCGAGGAGGCCCTGGGACTGTCAGCTGAAGGCTGGGGAGGGGAGGGGAAGAAAACCGCCTCCACATCTTGATTGAAAAACCCACTCTGGGAAGCCCCAGCTCGAAATCTCAATGTATAGATCCCAACGCCGGCAGAGATGCGTCTATACGTTGAGGGTTTGCCCGGCTGCAGCGTTTGTTCTCAGGAATTTATTATGGTATTCAGACTAAACTGCTGGAAAAATAAAAGGAGCGAAGTCTTGGCTAGGAGCTGAAGTGTCCCCAGCAGGATATGACGCCAGGAGTGTTGTAAAGACTGTCTGTCCTTAGAGAAGGTACCATTGTGCATAGCCTTTTATTTATAACTTGGTAAGTGCCAGCCAACTGCCTCCTTCACACCCCCGAGTGCCAGCCCCGCGCTCTGCGCTGCGCTTCATTCGCTCGAGTCTATTCAGGGACTGTCACTCCGGGACTGCGAGGTATTCAGGGCCTTAATCAATCAAAAGGATGAGAATCGGGCAGGTTTTTTCCCTTTGAAATAAAGGAAACAATGACTTCTGGGCTTCAAGTTCCCCCTTTTCCTTTTACGATTTTTGAATTTTTCCTGCACTGGAGTTCTCCACCCCTCTCTCCTGGTCCTCCCTTCCCCCAACTCCTTTGACAGTTTTTACTGTGAACTCGGGCTCCCAACCCCACTTCCCTAATTAAGGCAAACTCAGAAGGCAAGATTGGGGTGAGGAGAATAGCTGCTCAATGGTCTGCAAGTTGGCCCTTTAAAAATTCACTCACAAGTGGGAAAGCAGGCAGTTTGGGCTGGGCCCAATGTCAAAATGCTTGGTTGACCTGGGAACAGTTAAGAGAGGCCTCTGGAGACATCCGAAAAATTCTGGATATCCCTCATCCACCCAAGGGGGACAAGAGCCCCATATGCGTTCCTAGTAGGAAAGAGAGACGCTGCTTAGGAAGGAGCCCTGCTCAGCCGGGCTTTATATTAAATGATTTCGATTTGTCCAGGGGAAAACGTTCTCATTTCCTTTTCGCACACATGGGGCCACCAAAGTCTGTGTCCTTGTTTCTTAAGCCCCTTCTCAGGGATTGCAACTCGGGAGCTGGACTTTTTCCAAGTTTTCTGTCTCCAAAAGGCTGAGAGAAACAGACAGAGCACTTTCTGGGGTCAGTGGTAATTGTCGGGGGAGGGAGGTACCAAAAGTGTATTTCAAGGGGGCAAAAGGAACTTCAAGTATTGTCTAAAAGGAACCCAGGACTGCGGAGAGCGGTTAAAAAACGTCCAGGGCTGAGTCCCCTCGTTCTTTGCGCCAAGGGCGCCTCGGCTCCCGGTTTCCAGGGCCTCCCGGCGCCGACCGGCTCTCTCCCCGGCAGCGGTCCCTCTGCTCCAAGCTGGCTGGTCCGAGAAGGGGCGCGCTTGCCGCAGGCTGCTTCTCCCGGGTTGCGCGTCCTCTCTGAAATGGCAGAGCCGGGGGACCTTTGAATGGAGGTACTGGGGAGGAACTGGATCTCCAGTGCGGATCTCCAGTACGCGCGACCATAAACCGACCACCACTTGCTAGAAAATGTGCAAATAGAGGCCACGAGGACGTGTGGGCGTAGGGTCTGCAGCTCCGGGGTCTCTCCTTCCCGGCCTCTCCCCTGCCCCGGCGCTCTGAGGTTTACAGTAGCAAAAGGTTAGCTCGGCCCTTTCCGACCCGGCAGCACCCAGAGGACCCCGGAGCCCCAGCAGCAGGGCCGGCACAGGCCTCGAGAGTCCCAATTCCCTGAGGTCGGTGTCCCTGAAGTCCGAGCCGGAGAGCTAGGGCAGCGATGCAGGCTGAGGCTCCGGCCGGGCAGCGCCCTTTCGCAGCCACGCCAGACCAGGCCCAGAGCCACCGGGGCACTGCCACGAGCAACAGGTTAGCGGAGGGCAGTGTGGGCCCAAACCTCCCAGATTTGTTTGGAAGGGCGCACCCCCAGTTCTACACGCCAGTCCCTCCTTCCCTACTCGGAACCCTGGGCCTCCGCTACTTCTTTCAGCAGTTTCTCCGGAAGCCAAGGGCACCCCGGCCCCCAGGCGCACAACTCCCCGGAACAGGGAAGAATTCTCCAAGCAGGCCCCTTCCCTTGTGGGGAAGCCTCTGTGCCACCGAGCCTCGGGCGGAATCTGGCCGCGATGCACGCGCTAATTGGCAAAAGTGAGCCGGTGGTGGGGCCTGGAGCGCAGTCCCTGCGTCGTGACTCCCAGGTTTGGGAGCAGCGTTTCTCCCTGTGGACGAACTGCGCAGAAGGCAGCCGGAGAGGCTTTGCAGCAGTGACGTGCAAGAACCGCGCTGCCTCCCTGTTATCTGTGCACGTGTGCCAAGCGACACTGGAGCTTTGAAGACAGCAGAAGGATTGTTTGATTTTAAAAGGGGTGACATAACTTGCCACTGCCTCTCCTGCCCCGTTCCAGAGGCCTGCAGGTGACAGTCAGAGGCTGCCTGTGCACGGTTGGGGTAGGGGGGCTCACGCCTCCTTTACTTGAAGGTTCTCCTGCCCTTACTTGAAGGTTTGGTTGCCTGGATCTACAGTCCAATCATGGGGGGGGGGGGGTCAGATTGGGCTATGTGACACACTTCACCGCGCAGTCCCCACAATGGTGAGACCCAGGCACAAGCTTTCATGACACTTGGACTTCTCTGGCCTCTAAGAGATGACATCACTTGTAACTGGACACAGGCCTTAAGAGGAAATGATGATCTATGTAAAATAATGTCCCTGACCTAGTAGGGGTTGGCATCTGCCACCCAGGCCTCCCCCGCTCCCTCAGTTTCTGCAGGGCTGAGCTCCAACTGGCAGGGACCTGCCTGGCCGCCCACCGGGTCCCAGGCACCACTCTCAAAAAGCAGTCTGAAGTTTGAGCAAACACCAGGAAACCCTCAGTTTCGCAGAAAGGCTTTCCCGAGTTTACCTGGAGGAAATCTAAAGGCCAGGTGGGTGACCACGTGCTTCCTGGCTGGATGCGAGGAGACCGGTTGGTGAATGCTGGGGTTAAATCTCAGCGCTGTGGTCATTAGGCCCCCGCAGTTATTTGTCAAAAGCTTTGGTGCCACTGTTCTCCCTTTGGAAAATCAGTTGGGATAAGATCAGATTTAGGGACTGGATGAGGATGGGGAGCCTCACCCAAAAGCGGTGTGAGGCCAGCAGCAGCAGTTTTGCCCCTGCGGTGCCCCTGCCCTTGGAGGAGCGGGTGAGAACGTGTGAGTCGGTTCTCAATAAAGAACATTTGGTTTGTGGGAAGGAGAGAGGGCGAAGGAAAAAGGGAAGGAAAACAAGGGAGGGGAAGAAGAGAGATGGAAACGCAAATTTGTTGAAAGGCAGGGAGGGAGGGAGAGAACGAATATCAGGACAACGTGTTGCCTACAGATGTTCATTTGAGTCTGCAAAAATTATTTTTATGCAAATAACCAAGACAAGATGCCAGAGCCCGGATCTCCAGGGGGAAGAAGTGGCTCATTAAAAAAAAATTAGAGTAAGTCCTTTTTAATCTTTAAAAAATGTTCTGTCTAACTTGATTAGACTCCACGAGGGAAATTCGGTGACTGCTCTCTGCTAGCACGTGTATGCTGCAGTGTGTGTGTGGGGGGGGGGGGGGCGGGGGTCTGCGAGGACAGGAAGTGACTGGTATTGGGGGGAGCCTGAGACTTGGGGAACAGAGGAATCAGAGTGGAGGCAGGCGCAGACAGGAATGCTGGGTAAAGTGGGAGGGTCTGTTGGGTTTCCCTGAAGTCCGGAACAAAAAGGAAGGCAAATGATCACTCCAGGAACTTCTGCCTCAGGACTTTTGGGCCTGCTCTTGGACACAAAGAGCCTCCACTATGGGTTCCCTTGCCGAAGCCCAGGGAGTGCAGGGGATGGGGGAGGGGGAGGGGTAACAGGACTTTTGCTGGAACCAGGCCGGGTCTCTCTGGGTCTCCATGTTTTTCTAGTGCCTGAGCCCGCAGCGCTGCTCCTCCGCCTGAATCCCTTCAACTCCTGGGGACATTCTCTGGGGAGAGGATTTCAGAGGGCGGAATGGGAGGCGGGTGACAGAAGGAACAAGAAAAGAGAGACTTAGGAAAAGAATGTGCAAACCCACAGTGGGGTCTCAGAGCCCAAGGCGGCAGAGCCTGGAGTGAGCCCGGGACCAGCAGTCCCCACGTTTTTAAAAGCGCGCCAGAGCCGGAGACTGAGCAGCCCAACCAGTCAAGTAAACACAACAGGTGGGGGGAGGCGAAGGAGGCCGGGTCTTCGAGAGCCCACGAGGTGCAATTTAGCCAGAGCCGGGAGAAGTGCGGGCGGAGGACAGGA